GCAGGGATAGATGTGATATTGGGAAGGAATTCCTGGATGTGAGGGTGGGGAAGTGTCCAAGGCCAGGTTGAAGCAACCTGGTCCAGTGGAAGGTGTTGGGGGTTGGAACTGGATGATATTCAAGGTCCCTCCCAACCCCAACCATTCCATGACTCTGAGTAAGACCCCACTGGGTCTCTGAACTTACTGAACCCCTGTCGTGGTTTGAGATCCCCAAAAATCCAGTTTCTGAGTCCAAGCCCCCCTCCCACAACTCACCCCAGTGTCAGAGGGGTTTTCCAGACACAACACAAGACTCAATACGGGGGCAAGGGAATTATATTACAATTATTACACAAATAAATATTATAACACATTATATACACAATCCTAACTATCTCTGCTATGGTAAAGCAGTATATTTATATCAGATCAAATCTCTTCTCCCTCCAACAACATCATCATCCTTCTTTTCTGGTCTGGTGTGATATGTTTAAATTTTGCAGGGGCGCTGGTTGGGTCAACATCAAGAGTTACCACCCCCTGGGGGGTTACCATTTTTTAAAAAAATAAATAAATTCTTTTTAAATAAAGCATTTATTTTTAAATATTTATTTTTAAATAGAAATATTTATTTTAAAATAAAATATTTATTTTAAAATAAAAATATTCATTTTTAAATAAAAATATTTATGTTAAAATAAAATATTTATTTTTAAATAAAAAATATTTATTTTAAGATAAAATATTTATTTTTAAATAAAGCATTTATTTTAAAATAAAATATTTATTTTTAAATAAAATATTTATTTTAAAATAAAATATTTATTTTTAAATAAAAATATTTGTTTTAAAATAAAAATATTTATTTTTAAGTAAAGTGTTTATTTTTAAATAAAATATTTATTTTAAAATAAAAATATTTATTTTTAAATAAAAATATTTATTTTTAAGTACAGTATTTATTTTTAAATAAAAATATTTATTTTTAAATAAAAATATTCATTTTAAACAAAAATATTTATTTTTAAATAAAGTATTTATTTTAAATAAAAATATTCATTTTTAAATAAAAATATTCATTTTTAAATAAAAATATTTATTTTTAAGTAAAGTATTTATTTTTAAGTAAAGTATTTATTTTTAAATAAAAATATTCATTTTTACATAAAAATATTCATTTTTAAATAAAAATATTTATTTTTAAATAAAAATATTTATTTTTAAGTAAAGTATTTATTTTAAAATAAAAAATATTTCTTTTTAAATAAAAATATTTACTTTTAAATAACAAAATCCTTTTTTCCCCACCACAACCCCTCAGAGCTGGAGATTCTCAGCTGCCCTAAAACGGCCTTTCCAAACAGCAGAGGGGGGGGTGTTGGTCACGAATTGTCCTCACACAGACCAAACACAGCAATGCAACTTTTTTATCACCGATATCTGATTAAAACGAGTGTTTTGTTTTCTGCAGCGAGGATGGCCGAGGTGAAGAACTTCACCTGGGCGGTGGAGGACATTTTCAAGGACACCTTCCTGAGCTACATGAACGGCTGGAGGAGGAACATGACGGAGGCGGCGACCAAGCTGCGGGCCCAGGTGGCGGCCGAGAACTTCGACTACGTCATCCTGTACCTGATGGTGATGATCGGGATGTTCTCCTTCATCATCGTGGCCATCCTGGTGAGCACCGTGAAGTCCAAGAGGAGGGAGCACTCCAACGACCCCTACCACCAGTACATCGTGGAGGACTGGGGGGAGAAGTACAAGAACCAGGTGCTGATCCACGAAAATCTGGGAGCGAGGGATAAAACAAGCCTGGAGTCGCCCTGAGTTTTGGGAAGCGCCGGCGGTGAGGAAATCACAGAGTCACACCCAGGGAACCAACTGGGATTATAAAAACCTGGGAAACTGTTTGGAAAATTAACACACAGGTTGATGTATAACGGAGGAAACTAACTTTACTGGTTCCCAATCCACCCTACTGGTTCCCATCGACCTTACTGGTTTCCAATCCACCCTACTGGTTCCCAATCAGTCTTACTGGTTCCCAATCAGTCTTACTGGTTCCCATCAACCTTACTG